GTAAGAGTTCACATGAAAAATCCTGTCCAGCCAGGATATACTCTTTTCATTCACTAGGGTATATCATCTTGATGAAATTCATTTGACACAGTGATTGCGGAGAATAATCAGACTTGTGGCAAATCAAAACCATGCAGTACCCACTGACATCTTACCTTTTGCAGTCGTCCTTTCTGATGGCAAGCCACTTCCCCCTTTCTTCCAATATGGATTCAGTTCTCGTGGATGCTGACCAAGCTTATATTCAAGAAAGAATAGTTTTCAACTTTGAATAGAAACAACTACATATATATTTCACAGTTATCCATTTATCCATGAAAAGATACATAATTTGTTATAATTACGGTGTTTATTTATACCTGCAATCATGGTTATATAATAATATGAAGTGCAATTACCTCTAAAGGAGTAGACGATGACTTTATATCTTTATCTTCAGTTTCGCTTTCCTTTATTTCGGCTGCTGGGTTTACTTTCGACTTTGTTTCAGATGGAATAGGAAACAACATCCAAGAATCACGCTAGAAGTATTTAAAATAGCTTGTAAATTGTGACCTTCCTTTCATGTGGGCATGAAAACCTGAAAGGAGACAGCGGTGAGAACATGTCCGGGCATTAAAAACTAATTTGTCATAATGTCAGTAGTTCTGTGTGCAAATATTCATGCTCGTCTAACGGATTCGAAATTAAATTGTACGATAACGTCACTCCAACGGCTATTTCCTTCTTCAGATTCTGCACAGTTGTGCCCTTTGTACGTTTTCAAAAACCACATGGTTTGAGATTGATGACCAATATTCTACAGTACGTATACTTATTCTTAAAGGATCGGGCCGATCAAACTACCTTAAAAATGTAAAAAAAACTTCGATATTTCGAGCGAAGGGACTTCATCTAGGAGATGTATTACTGCATGTACTGTAGCTACCAACTTTCAGACGAAGGGCATTTGCCTTTGCTCAGAACGTCGAGACTCTATCTATATTTTTCTGTAGATTCTTAATCCTGCTCTATACTGTAAATAACATTGTTTTTCGAAAATCAATTTCGAAAATCTATCGTAATCATGCCCGTTCGCAGGTTAGGGTAGCCCAACCCTAATGTATGACCAGATGAACCAGATGTAACTTAATAGGCCTTCGTGTCTCAAATTTCCCTAGATGTACACGTCATGCTCACGCCATGACACTTGCTAGCAAATGGCGTCCTGAAAAACACGAACTTTTACACTTTATTGCGGCCTTTTTGGATCGAAATTTTTGGACTAAACAATCAATGTTTAATGTTTAAAGTTGTTGAAAGCAATTAAAATTGTTGAAAAGGTGTTGAAAGCATTTTTGAAAGCAAGACGTATTACGAATAATCACGCGAGCGACACTTGCTAGGAAGATGGCGACCGTGGGACAACTTCTTTACTGAAGTTACACATCTGGGGCCGGTTGTTCAAAGTTGGATTAGCTTTGAACAACCGGCCCCCTGTTCTTAAACTGTGACCCGCGTACGAGATTGTCGTAATCACCAAACAACAAATTAATAATTCTAAAATTTAAAAAACAGAAACATGCAGCTACGAAAAAGTTGTTTTATATACATTGTTGATAGATTGCCGTATATATTCTTGGGTTTCATTACCGCATTATGCAGTAAATCTGACGGGGAGTCAACCTCAAATGTATTGATGCTTATGCTGTACTGGAGTGAGAAAATGATACGAAATTCCATGTATTTGCCACCAAACACAAGGCTAATACATAAAACGAACAACCGACTTACTCGGGATAACTGTGTTTTATTTTAGAGTTGACCCCCCGTCACTTCTGTAACGTCATATGAAACCCAAGAATAACATGTACCTGAGGAAGAGAACAATCACTAGCACTGTTCACTCTTTTCTCTGAAGGCGCAATATCTGAAGAATTTTTCTCCACCCGGTCATCCTCTTCTGAACTACTCTGAAATAAAGCCATTGTTTTAGAAAATTAACAACTCTTCTCGACCTTCCTAGTAAATAATTTTCAGGCTTTTAACGTTATATGTCCGTATAACTATATAACACTTTGTTGTATATTTATAGGGCCAAGAAAAACCGAAAGCAAGCTGAAATAATCCAAGAACTGTAAAAGTAATGCTACCATATTTTGCCATTGGTTTGAGACGTTAGTAATGTAGCCAAATGTTTAAGGGCGTGCGTGCATGCATCGAGTTTTTTGGCACATGTTTGTGCGTTGACGTAGGGACATATATGCGGCTTCATTTTAGTTTTTAGCTTATTTAGTCCATTTACCATTGAATGCAGGAACGTGAAAACCTTCATAGTGTACAATTTGCCTTTAGCTTATGAGGGTCTGTTCATATGGGGAAAGGTTATCTTGGTTAGCGAGAAAACATTTCGACTGGCCAAATAATTTTGTTCTGTTCATATGCATGCAGGAAAAACGTTATCCCGATTACCGGGTAAAGTTTCCGGCTGTGATGTACAGTAGCACTGGTGTAACGCGCAAGGATTTGTAAGAAGGTTTTCCCGCTAAGCGGAAAAGTTGTGAATTTGTTGTGTTCATGTGGGAAAAACATTATCCCGGTCACCGAGACCTTGCCTGTCAACAAGCGAGCACGGGAAAATGTTTCGTCTCATATGAACGCAGTGTAACTTTTCATATTATTTTCATAACAAGGCGAAATCTCGCTTGTAAACTTGTCGAAATGTTTTCTTGCTAACCGAGATAACTTTTCCTCATATGAACAGGCCCTAAGTTGTTTCAAAAATGAAATAAATACTTTTTCTCACTGTTTTCTTGGAAACCTCGTACAAAATCGAATCTATATACTACACTCCGAGGTCGTTGAATGCAACATGCATGGCGGTCATTGTAAAATTTTAGGATTTAACTGCTAGTCGTAGTTTTTGTGCTACCATTTTGTCTACTTCGCTTCTCATTGTAGCCGACCTGACATACGGCGAGTAGCTCACTAGCTCAACCAATTAGATTGCAGAATAACTCAATACATACTGTATAATCATCTATGTTTAAAGGGTATTTGTTGAGGTCATGCATGAGTGCTTAATAAAATTTAGAAAGATTTACTAACTTTTACTATAACTTTTTCGTGCGTATACGTACGTGTGAAAAATGCTGAACTGGAAAGCAGCCTTATATAATACAATAATTTCATATTTATTTACTTTGTGTCTTTTTTTCTTTTTCTTCTTTTTCTTTTCTCGCTTGAGTTTCTTCCTTTTCGAACGCTGCAAAGAGAAATAGCATGCTTTGGATACAATGATGAAATGAATAATGAATGGAGCGAATTAAAAAAACTGACTTCTAAGTTCTATAGACTATACGGTTTTATAATATAGCATTTGTAAATTCTGAACGCTGATTGGCTAAGAGCAGTGTTGATATAACTCAATGTCAACGCGGAAACGTCGGAAAATTTCTTTCTTTATGTTTCTTTGTGCTAGTATATTATAAAACAAATATAAAACTTTTTTCCGTAATGATATACAGTTATATCAACACTCGTGGAAATTGGGAAAACTCGAAATTGGGAAAACTCGAAATCGTTTTCCCAATTGGGAAAACTCGAAATCGTTTCCCAATTTCCACTCGTGTTGATATAACTGTATATCAACACGGAAAATGTTTTATATTTGTTAATTGTAATATTAATATGTACTGTACAGTAGCTTATTTTCGGATAACGTTTTAAAAAGTTTTGAAATATATTGTAGCTTCGCTTTACACATTCATATAGGGGATATGGTTGTACGAAAGAGGGATATAACGCTATCTACTGGGTGATTTTACAACCTTAGTAGACTTATTTTGAGGGCTACACAATACACTAGTATTGTACAATACAAAGATGTTGCATTTCAAGTTGCAAGTAACATGGCATCATGTGAAAACCCTAGATGGCAAATGATATGACAATGAAAAATTGTGTCGCAGTTGCCGAGAAAGTTGCACCAGTTACAGTTTTTGCAACCCCCTCCCCTTGCAACTAGCCTTGCAATGTTTTTGAAAATCAACCAGTGCAAGACCGAAAATTATTATGAAATCTTAAGACTATAACAATACCTCGTCCTCATCACTGCTGCTGGGAGACAGTCTACTGTCTACTGATGGTAACATCCAAACATCTTCACCTCTCTTCTTTTTTTCTTTCAACTTGCGTTCCTTTCTTTCATAGTCTTCTTTTGCCTAGAGTACATTAATTCACTAAATTAAATTTTGTTTCCTGTTAGTCACCGAGTAAAAATTCATTGCAACATGATAACTGATCTCACATGATTTTGCTAATAAAATAATCTAGTACATAATTATAGCTTTGAATTTAATATGCAGCTTCGTTACTTTGTAAATTGTAAATTGTAAACAGTACCTAACCATAACTAATTTGTTTGCTGGTAGAAAATCTACTGGGTCATCACTTTCTGTGACCACCCTTGCACCATTGTCGCATTGAATTAATATCAATGATTCCCACACAACAAGGAACAGTTGGATTGCCTAGGAAAGTTAACAACACCTCTGTTATCTCCGGCAAGTGGCTGGACAAGATCAGGGTGTTAGCTACAGTAAATAAAGTCAGCATTATACGCCATTCTTCCAATTACGTTTAGCTATTAATAGCATTTTCTACTTTAGACCTGCCAAAAATAACATTATAACTATTATGAAAAAATACAAATATGAGATTATGTTTGCGATGTTACTCTGAGTGCATATCCACACCGGGCGAGCTTGAAAAATATGCCCGGCCACGGTGGGATTCGAACCTACGACCTTTGGAATACTAGCCCAATGCTCTTCCAACTGAGCTACGCGGTCAGGACGGTTCGAGTAAGTGATATTTCGGAACAGTATCTAATTCCTTCAATACCAATGTGTTCTATTAATATGAATTTTTTGTGCTGGTGTTGTGTACTCAGGTGAATAATATGTTTGCGATGTTACTCTGAGTGCATATCCACACCGGGCGAGCTTGAAAAACATGCCCGGCCACGGGGGGATTCGAACCTACGACCTTTGGAATACTAGCCCAATGCTCTTCCAACTGAGCTACGCGGTCAGGACGGTTCGAGTAAGTGATATTTCGGAACAGTATCTAATTCCTTCAATACCAATGTGTTCTATTAATATGAATTTTTTGTGCTGGTGTTGTGTACTCAGGTGAATAACATGTTATTCACCTGAGTACACAACACCAGCACAAAAAATTATATATTCCACAGTTATAATCCACACTGACGATCAAACTCTTTTACCATGAAAACAATACGGCTAAGCATTATAAATTTTTAAATATGCTGGCACATATTCACTATTAAGGAAAAAATGCACTTATATCAGACTGAGCGGACTTTCAGGAGAGTTCTAATGTGCGCCCACCCGGACAGTGCCTTTTTTTACTATATATCTGGGGGGGGGGGGGGGGCCCCCCCCGGGGAA